TTTTACCTCTGAAATGATCACTTTTCCATCACTTGCAATCCTCCTAATCATCCCCAGGCTCTCATCTACTTGCGTCCAAAACCTCGAAAGTGAGGCGGGTACATGAACCCAGGTTGGGAACACTGCATCGACGCAAGGTTCAGCAACTTTGTAAATGATACCGAGAAGAAAGAGGTGGCCAGAGCCTCCTGACTCTCCGGGGGCATCACGGGCTTCCGCATCTATCCCGCCGTGGCCGGCGCCAGCTGCGGCCCTGTTTTCAACGAGCCAAAAGACTCGTGTCTCCGCCAAGAGACTCGGGACGTGATCTAGTAGAAGGCTAGCTGGGGGCTTGAGTCTTTGCGGTGTCTGCGTAATTATATTCATTGTATTTCAGTTGTGATAGTGGTGTACCAGGAGCTGTAAATATATATCTGTGCTGAGACGTTCTTTTAGGGACAGGTGCTAGTGCCCAAATATGTCGAGCTTGTGATGGAGGGAAACCCGGTGATGGCAGTTGCAGTATGACTAGATGTACGACACCTTTGAGTGTTTTTCCACTTCGAAAGACCATGAACTTCGACCTCTCTGAAGAGCCGGTATTGGCTGCCTTGATACCACGGCATCTCAGGCTGGCCATGACCTCTTATCATCCCTGACGAGTTGCCTGGGTTAAATGCGCCCGAGCAGAGGACACGGTCAAACCCTACAAAGAGTCTATATTTTAGACGTGACGTGTTCATCCTTGATTGGGCGAGGGAGTCGGAGCTTACGTGCCTTGCTATCTATCGTATAAGAAACGGAACTATGGGGTGGAACATCAAGGCAGAGCTGCTGGTGGGTCAGGGACAGAATGCTACACCCCTGCGTAGCTGCCCAGCTCTTTAGTCGTAGTTGGGGCAGATTTTGTCCAAGGTGAGTTGAAGAACACACATGTCACGTTGACAAGTGATGGAGAATAAGATGCAGACTGAGAGATAGAAGTTGAGTCATATTTTCATAACTATCGACCTCCTACGCCTCATTTTCTCAACATTGGCTTGATTCCATCTCACTTGCGGCGGGGGAAACCAGACGGCATCACTGCAATTTATAGGAGTTAGCCCTTTTCTCACCATGTCGTTTTTCTGTTGCATATGCTGCACTTACCCCTCTTGGCCAGTTCACCGACGATACTCAGGTAGAACTGCTGCTCCAGTCCTGCGGTGATGGCTCTGGCGGCATCACGCGCCTCGACGTACAAATCGCCGTAGCCGGAACCACCTTCGACCCTGGCATTCACCAGCCAAACCGCCTGCACCGCGAGGGGCAAGAAGGGGACATAGTCTAAAAATTAGAAACGTCAGCTATAATTACGATTAGCTCTTTATGCTTTCACCTGAAAACGGTGATTTTGAGGGACGCAGAGCGGTGATACAACAGTAGGAGGGGTGCGTCAGTTAGGGAACCGGTGGTCGCAACTTACCCTCGGCGAAATCGAAGTATTTATTACTAAACGATCTGTCAGTATCTTTAAATAAGTAAAAGAGATATTGTTTTAAACTTACGTCATATTTGTTTTCTTCCCACTGTTGGAGTGTGCTCTTTCCGTTTGTTATGAGGGTGATGTGAACTTATGGTGGTGTTGAAAGAGGAAGGAGCAAAGTGTTTTGTGATTATTTAATTGTGCAGATTTAAAAATCCTCAAGCAGAGCTTTCTTCCTGCCCTCCAGTCTCATCTGAAAGATCTGGGTTTGATGCCCCCACTTCGATTCTGGGAGATACGTTTAATATTCCATCTCGTGTCACGGTATCCTATGACCCATACTTCTAGTTTTCCTTTTCGTCATATGTGGCTTGGATGAGACCCGTGTCTTTCTTTTCATCTCATGTCGTCGCTGGCGAAGTGGGGCAGCAGGCGTGCCGGGAGGGGTGTTGCTCGCCATGTTACCAGCGTGTCGGCCCGCCGAGCAACCCAACCCGGCCGTCGAGTTTGACCCGGCCGTGGAACTCGGTCCGTTCCCTTTGGTACCGTGGCGGCACCCCTAGAACTACTAGCCTCAAGGTACAACGCTTCAATCAGAATTTCCATTTAGCATTCGATCTGAACTTCCGGTTTCGCTTCGCATCACTTGAGGCTTTGGTGAGATTTGTGTGTTGTTCCATCTTATATTGCCGGTCTAATAAGGCCCTTGACGCTCGGGAAGCCACATTGCTTGTTGTGTTTCTAGAGTTCGCCCCGTCGAGCAACTCAGTCCAGTCTTAGAATTCCATCTGTTCTCCTTACCCTTGCTTTGGGCTTGCCTCTCTTTTCCAGCTCACGGATGATGTTGAGGTATAACTTACGCTCCAGCCTGACCAGAAGCAGCATAAACTGCCCAAAGTATAAGGGCAGGGTGTGACGGAACGCCGAAGCGAGCTCGAAAAGGGGTTAACGCTTGACACTCCTGACAACCTATTCAACCAACAATCAATGTGGGCATTCGATATCTTGCACCAAAAGCAAAAATTGGTGTGTTTTGGGCTACCTGGGTGATAAAAGCAAAACTAAAAGAGTGTCCGGGTACATGAGGTGCTCATCTCAAACACAAACCTCACTCCCCAAATTGTAACAGAAAAAGCGGCAAAGCTGAGCTCGAACAGAAACTAAATCACTGGGAGCTGTGACAACCCCCAGAAGAAGCAGTGATGACACCGAGAAGAGATACGAGTAACTCAAGCACTCCTAAAATGGCCACAAAATTCCTCGCCCTAATGATGAATGCTGTACTGCTTCTTGCAAGAATGCATATCAGCCCAAGCGCGGCGATAGCTGCCACACCTCCCAGCGGCCCATGAGATGAACTCGTCGTACTCGCGCGAGCTGCACGGGTTCCATCCACCCGAGCTGCAGCCGTAGGCGATGGCCCGGCCCCGACGCGAGTGGAGCACGCCGCCGGGGGGGATACTGGAGCCTTGGTTGCACCAGCGGGTGAGCTCGTTCTTGGCCGCGTCAAAGTCGCCGGGGGGGGATGGTGGCGCCGAATCTGCTTGGCCAATAGCCAATCAAGTGGGCTATCCGCGCGGTCTCGATTCCGCGCCGTCAGAATTCCGCCCGGTCTCAAATCATGCTGGGTTCTTGCGTAGCCAGCTCAGTCAAGCAAAGCGTTCCTTAGGTGATTTTCAGATCGGTGTAGGAGCTGGGGTGGATGGCATAGTGGGCGAGGGACCCTTTTTGTGCAACCTCTGGCCAATACGAGCTGAGCCACATTATTACGTTGACAACCTGGGAGGCTCCATTGATCGAACCACTGTTGGAAACGCCCCTTTTTATTTCAAGCAAGGATCAGGGGCAGAGCATCCTTGATAATCTGCTGCTTCTCAAATCATGGGATGATTTTTGCGCGGATGCCCTTGACATACTACGGAGTGGCTGGCTGACGAAAGCCACCAATCGATTTTTGATGCGCTTCGTTGCAGGCTCAGTCTATGCCCCCTCTTGGCTTTCGTGTTCTTGCTACACCTCTCGGCTGGGTTGTTGCAACTTTTCTCCCGCGAAAAGCTCGAAAGAATGCTACTACAAGGTAAAGAAGGAACTGCCCAGCTCTACTTAGAACGCATGATTACTTGGCCTCCACCAGGGACCCTTGCTGTCGGCCTCGGACTTATATAGAGTCCATCCCCGGACTCCTGGGTGACGAAGCACTCCGTTGGATATGACGTCAGTTCCAGAGGAACCTCCCTTTCCCAGGCTCTCAAAGAGGGGATTGGCAAGCCCATGTAGGAAGTCTACGGTCGAGAAAGACAAAAGGCTACCTAGGTGAAGAAGGAATGATCACTAACAGACCGAACGCCTAATTTAACTGCCCAAAATAGTTAGGTGACACAAGAGGCTCACGAGTAGCTCCAAATGCTGACGCCAACTGCGGCAAGGCAGTTCGAAGGCAAAGGACATACCTTTTTAATCGGGTACCTCATAAGAACTGTGTATCAGGCTACATCCGCCCGTCCATCACCATTTACCCTCTTATGCGACCCCCGAGCCCAATATTGTACAAAAAGGGGGCAGATTTGTTTGCCGTTTTGGGCACTCGTAGGACCACCAACGGAGACGTGCTCCTCTCAGGGATGGGGGGTATCGGCGGTCGCAGCAAAAAGGATGTTGATGATATCGTAAGCTTAGGTTCTATTGCCATTATTTCTCGGTGCCGCGCATCAAGGGAAGAATATCAAGCAGGACGGCTTGTAAACTTTTCGATGCTGACGGAGCGCTGCAGGAAGGGTGTTAGGGGTTGAAGAGGTGAGTTTCTTCCCCCCCGTGACGCGGTCGTCCTTCTTCCATACCCACACCGGCGAGGAGTCAGGGGCTCCTCATCCCACATCTCCTGATTGGCGGGAAGGCATCATTGCGGCTATTTTCTTTGTCCTCCCGGAGCGTAAGCCAAGACCAGGTAGAACAAAGTACCTGCTCCTCGACGCTATTGTCAACAACAAAAATCACAACTCCCGACAGCAAAAAAACCAACTCAAAAGGTTCTAGCCCTGACCCCGAAAGTGGGCGGCTGATCAGTGGATCAAAACCGCAGCAAGAGATGCATCTAGATCGGCAAAAGAGTTCGGCAGCGCAGATCCGAGAGCGTCTTGGCATACTTATGGACCAGTGCCGGTTGATAGGCGCGGCTGGCAGTCAGAACGCTATTTCTCTGTGAAACATGCTTCCAATCTACCCAGCATTCGAGCTGACGTGTTTGCCCAAGACCCCATCGGCATTGTGGAGTTGAACCACTGACGCAGCTTGAGTCTTTGCCGTTTGCTTGCACAGCGGCAAGATGACGTTTGTGGACCTTAGCTTACTGATGATCGCGGAGCCAATATCAGTTGTTTTCCCTTTGCAATCAAAAACGAGCACGAAAGATTGTGTGATCCGCAAGCTCGGTTGCAGCCCCTGATGTGCACATCCCTGACCAGGCAGGTTTGCCCTGTCTCCACCGAGCTCCATCACCACAAACACGACTCATGAGACGCATTTGTGCGCCATCTTTACAACAAATTGCCAAATAATCGGTCCGCTGGCTCAATGGTAGAGCGTCTGACTACGAAGCTTAGAGCCAAACAACTCTAGTGTCAGCAATCAGGAGATTCTAGGTTCGACCCTGGGTGGATCGACGCTTGTCTCTCAAAGAGCCATCACCCTTTTGTTGCACCATAATCACAATGCATTGTCTAAAAAAACAATGTGCGTTCTTTCATTTCCACCAACCATGCACTGAGGTTGATTCAAAGGCTTATTGACATCGCAGCTCGCTTGTGTCAACCAATACATCCCTGTTGACAACTCAAATGGCGCAACCAGTCGGACTCTTTTCGCACCCCTCGAAGCGAATGACATCGGAGGATTTTTCCTTTGGAAATGCAACGTTCCAGCCGATCGGAATGTCACGCACTGAGCCACGGAAGTTAGTTAGCAACTGGCGGCATTTGCATCATCAAACCTGTTGGATTTGCCCCGTTGTTTTTTTTGCTGCAATCGTCTCTCATGACGTGTAAGTCGTCTGGGAATCGGACGAGCAAACCGCCAGCCCCGTCGGTTGCACCGTGGAACGGAGAAAGGAAACAGCGCCGCAATTAACAATGGCGCAAACCACCAAGCCGTCCAAGACACCAAGAACAGTTAGGACGCCCACTATCGTCTGCAAGCGTCCCAGTGGGAAGCTTGACTGCGGCTGGACATGAACCCAGGGCCGCAAAACATGAAGGAAAAAAAAAAACTGGGGTGAGCTGCCGAGATCCCCGCGGTTCCTCCACTGCCGAACCAAGAGTTTCTCGTATAGTAACATACGTAAACAAGGCGTCGTGGACTCATCTCAAGCTCTTTTCGTCCCGTCTGGGCTTTGCTGGGCATCGACGTCTTAGCCAGCGGTCTTCCCGGTCGGGAGTCGGTCTTTGTGTGCATTCGAAGAACCTTGGGGGGGGACGATTCCGGGATTGTTGCGCGCAGCCGGTCATGACGGCATATTCAGCCTCCGTTCCATGCTTTAGGCGGGCGCTGTGTGGTGGAATGTGCACAAAAAGGGGGGGAAGGGTCCCTCTTTATGCCAAGCATATGTCCCTTCGTGCCAAGTATATCTGGCAGCGCGTGGCAAATACCTTTTTTCAGGGGATTCCCCAGGGGAATTCCCCAGGGGACTCAGGCCACCGGCGACAGGCGAGGTGTGGGAGGCACTAACGAGTGTTGCACGCACCGCCGCCGGGTCTTGTTGCTGGAGTATTCCCTTTACGTAACGGCAGATAAAGTCTGGGGAAATGATTGGCGCTGCAATATGCATGAGGCTCGACCGGTACCCGGATCGCGAGTCGTGCCAGGGGCGGGGTCGGACCTACAGCGATATGACTACTTTCCCTGTACTTTCCCCTGCGCGGCAATATGGGGGAACTATAGCGGGGGTGGCTCGATGGCGAGCTTCGGGCTTATACGCACACACACACACCAACCCCAATCTGAGTTGGACGGGGCCGTGTCTCTGTGCCGTGCGCGCGACCTGACGCCCGACGTGCAGCTGTCAAAGTAGGCGATATTAGTGGAAAAACTCCGCTCAGCGTATTGTGGCGACAACGGGCGACGTGCATGTTGCCAAGGCGTCAGTGAACACCAGCAGACTGACTGCCCCCAAACACTACTATCGACGAGCTCACAACAACCGCAAGCGCCAGTAGATCCTCCACGGGACAAGACTTCTTCCAGGTATTATGGTCCCCGCTACGCTTGCGTAACCTGCGTATAACAAAGTCGTGCTATGATTAACATGATCAATGCTTGGCGGATCGTAGCTCATGCCCGCGAGTGTGTATTCGTTGGGGTAAACAGGTAAACAACCACTTGCCGATTAGGCGCCGCATTTTACCGGCCATCAGCAAGGCACAAACCCTCGTGTTCAGCCGTGAACCGCATCAAGGCGTGCAGAGAACGCACCTCCAGAGTAACTCGGTACGTCGAGAGCGCATCAATGCGATCCAGAGTTTCCGTACCCAGGCGAATCCCCAAAAGTTCCAGCCTCCTGGTTTCCCTGGATTCCACCCATCTGGTTATATTGCGTCTTGGTGAAGTAGCCGCACACGCGATGCCTTCATGTTTCACGTCGCCATAGTCCGTTTCCGTGAAGATAGGGGTGGTGCTTGAGCACATCGCGTATCTCGGTAGCATCCCAGCGGAGAAGGGCCAAGTCTCGGGGGTTTTTCTGATGGCACGTCAACACGTTCCGTAGCTCGCTTGCCCCCTTTGACGGCGGGCTGATGCGCACCAGCAGGGATGGACCCTCGCTCGGAACCCGCCATGTGAACCCACGATGGCATCACCTCGCTAGACACCACCGAGAATGTTTGTCAGATGAGGTATGCAGAGGACGCCGCGTCATCGTTTTGCTATACAATCTGCGATATATGCCGCCTATGCGTGGGGTTGCCGGCAAGAGAGCCGTGCCGATATGGCAGAGCTGGCCCAGGTTCGGTGATCCGGAGCGGGCTTGACCAGTCTGGTTGGGAGTTCTAGAAAGCCGGCTGCGTGGTGGGTAGATTGTCAGCCGAAGCGCCCAGAGCAGCTTCACCCGAGTGGGATTTCTTCCAGATTGCCCCTTCATCAATCTTCCGCTGTTGCCCCGCGTTCCGCAACACACCGAAGCCGTTGCGCAGTTTCCGAGATCGTGGACCCGTTGGCAAAGGCCAAAATAGACCAGAAAAAACAGACCTGGCGCATCCAATTGCCAAGCCGCCCCGTTTCCCGGTGTATATATACCATCTGGCACACCCAGCTTCTGAGGATGAAACTTCTCTTGATCTGTGTGCTCCAGCCAAGACACAGCCTTCCAGCCTTCTCTTGTTGACAAAGTCTCTCACCACTCGCTTCGAGTCCTCCAGCACAAAAGCTTTTTTTCCAAGCTCCAACCGTCAAGATGCTTCCCAAGATCTTCCTCACCGCTCTCTTCGCCAGCACCTACGTCGCTGCGCTCGCCGTCCCCCCCGCTGAGGGAGACTCGCTCGTCGTCCGCGCCGAGGCCGAGACCGTCGAGGCCGCCATCATCGACGCCCGCGCTGAGGTCGAGACCGCCGAGATCGTCGGTGACGAGCTCGACGCCGACAAGGCCAAGCCCAAGAAGGGCAAGGGAAAGAAGGGCAGCAAGGGCAAGGGAAAGAAGGGCAAGGCCGCCAAGGGCAAGAAGGGCAAGGGCAAGGGCAAGGCCGGTAAGGGCAAGAAGGGCAAGGGCAAGGGCAAGGCCCGCAAGGGAAAGGGAAAGGCCGGCAAGGGAAAGGGTGGCCGCAAGGGCGACCGTGATGCCGATGAGGCTTGAATCATCACCTCCTCCTCCTAATCGTTTGGAAAGGTGCGCCGTGGTGGATCTCAGGGGCTGTCCGGGGGGCCAGTGAATGGTTTGGTGCATGACGGGGTATTTTGGCTTGTATATTCTTCTCGCTGGGAGGCAGTCTACCTTCACTATCCACTGGATATCTCGGCAATTCCATCAGTCCTGATCAGGCACAACCACGTTTTCCAACTCCTTGGCCCAATGCTGTGATTTTGCGAGTGGCTGAGATTCAGGGACTGAGGTTCAGGGACTGAGGTTCAGGGACTGAGGTTCAGGGACTGAAATCTAGGGACTGAATAGGGGGTGTGCTGCGCGCTCGAGAATTGCGGCTCGCTCGTTAATAGAACGCGGATGGTCGCATCGATCGATCTGTGGGGAACGGCTGCAACCGTCTTCCCAAGTAGCGCCATCCTTGCTCGTGGTGGTAGTAATGCTTTGCCGAGCCCGGCATCCGGTATCGCCTTTGCTGTCTTCTTATCAGTCTGCGTCCAAGAGGGACATGATAACGATAAGGGGGGCCAGCTAGGAACCGTTGATCAACGAGCCATTATCCCCGAGTTTCGCCCTATCAAAAGCCGAGGAGGGGTAAACATAGTAGTCTTGAGTCCCCCGCTGAGGTGATAGGAATGCCGATGCCTGAAACTCGGTCGAAGCGGAACGATGGGGGTTGTCTTCTGTTCGATGCGATCGCGGTGCGGGGAACACCCGTCAAAGTGCATGCAGCCCGCATTGGACTTGGGGATCAAGAGTTGCACCCGAGTCTCACTGCGTTGGGCCTAGTCCGTTATTGGAGAATTTGTCCCCAATCAAGACGTTGGTGTTGGGAAGACGCATGCACGGAACTGATAATATTGATGTGCCCAGGCGATCAGCGTCGTCGCCATCATTGGTTGAGATAGCCGTTAAGAGCTGTAAGCACAGGCTTCAAAAGCCACCAAAGGTTCGCAATCTGTCCAACGAAATTCAGGTACCCAATCCAGAGGGTGAAGAAGTGAACATGGCTTCGAATTCGTGGATTGGCGAGATCAACATTCCGCTCGCAGTGCGGGGCACAGCCCTTTTAACTGTCTTTGGTGCTCTCCTCTCCGTATCTCTGTTGGCCCTGTTTCTTCTTATCGGCAGGCGGCGTGCAAAGCCGGGCGACGTTGTGCAGTCTCCACCCCACGTCCTCCAATTTCCTCCAACGCGGCGTCACGTACTTGCGAGTTTGTCCGGCTTTGAAAAGTCGTCCCAGGTCACCGAGATTCCACCAACAACCCTCAGATCTCGGGCCCTGTCCACGAAGACGGCATCTGATATCGACAAGGATAACCAGTACACGCCGACTGGCTTCTCGACCCAAGAGATCAGAGCGCTTGGTCGGTTTCCGGACTACTCTCTTCTCAGCGGAGTCCGCCCTCCCGTTCCCGTCGACCCTGCTTGGGACATATCCAAGGCTGTGTTCCGGCCGTACCGCCCGTTCCGATGGAGATACCACCAGCACATGGGTGAGCTGCTGCCCTGTGAGCGATGGGAATATTGATAGAAAGATGCTGACCGAGCTTTTAGCGCTGATGAAGTACGAGCCGGACTGGTGGATAGAGCTCGAGAAGAACTACCAGAAAACTATGACGGCGCGCCAAGAACTTCTCAAGGAGCACATCTCCCGCATCTTCTTCCAAGGGCCGGGTGCCGATCTGGCAGTTCGTGAGCTGATGGAGATGCTCCTGCAGTTCCTCTGCCAGCGCTACCCGCAACACTTCTCCCTCTCGGATGACTGCGTGCTCTTCCAGAACAGGCTCTTGGGCACCACGACGGATTTGATAACC